GTGTGTGTGTGTGTGTGTGTGTGTGTGTGTGTGTGTGTGTGTGTGTGAGAGAGGCCTTTATAAACTGTGATGGTGCTGAATACACAACACTTACTGCTGCTGGTCCAGTTTCAGCTCTGTTCGCTCATGTTGTTTATTTCTCTGACATCTGGAACTTCATTCTTCAGGCAACGAGTCTGCTACATTTACAATAACACTCAAGTGCACAGGAGAGTGGGCCCCTACATGATCAATAAATAATAAATCATTTATATTCATGTGCTCTGATCAGCCACATCAGAGGCTCAGAGAAGTTCTGCAGCCTTCATGATGTCACCTCTGCAAGTGTTCGGTTTAAAACCTAGTCTAGATATGGACTTTTGTTTGTTTTAGACTGACTTGACTCAGAATTGAGTTTTATTAAGAATTTGATCCACAACAAGAAACGAGGAAGATGCCAGATTTTTAACACACCAGAGAGTCGAGTCCAACGTTTTCAAACGAAAAGAATAAAGAATCCAAGAAGGCTCAGATGATTTTAGATGATTGAAAAGAGCACACATTCTCTGCAAAGTTCTCAGTGAGCTGGAGGACAGAGACTGAACGATCTAAAAGATGGTGTTGAGAAATTCACCGTGCCTTCTCTCATTTCCCTCTTACTGCAACAACATCTTTAGTTTGTTTGAGTTTTGAGAAGAAGGACATACAAAGACGAGCAGAATCTTGTTCTGGGCGTTAAAGAAAGCAGCTTTTAACAATCGGCTCCAAGACGACATTTGAACTTCATGGACGTATTTCCCCCCCATGGGCGTCAGCTGCCTCCTGACGTGGATGAGAGGGTCGGGTCAGGGCTGGTGTTGAGGTCACCTCGTGTACGTGATTGAATCTGCCAGAGCAGTAGAGTGGAGTGAAGTTACTGGGAGGTTACGAGAGCGTTTGAAATGTTCTGGCAACATGAACAAAGATAAACTAGTAGAAGGTTTAGACTTTGTCTAATAAATTATGTACATGAACGTGCGCCGCAGCATGGCAGCACTGAGGAGAGCTCCGCTTCAACTCACACTTTTTGTTTCTTTGTTGTTTTTGTTTTGACTCTTTGTACCTGCTCCCACGCTGCAGGTATGACTGTGACGCACTTCTGGAGTTTGACTTTTGTCGACTTTTGTCTTCTGTGAGACTTTTGGAGTTGTGATCGTCTTTGAGTGGAGACATTGGGCCGACTTTGAGGGGACACTGCAGCAGACATTTTCCTCTGGGTTCTTTCTTTACTTTGGTGCCATTAAGCAGAAAACACGGAGAGGGAAGTGAGCCGGTGTTTTGTGCAGGACTCACCAGAGATGCAACAACAACCCTCTCCCCTCGGTCCTGCTTTCAGGTGTTCAGTCTCTGAGGAACAGACTGGATGACCTGCGTGCATGGATTTATTGCAAGCAGGACACGAGGAGCTGCTGTGTCTTTGTCTTTACAGAATCATGGCTGGAGCCGTCCATCCCCGACTGTTCTGTGGCTCTGGAGGACTTCTCCTTCTCTACCTGCTCGACAGAACTGAGTCACATCTGAGACACCTAATGTTTGTTGCTGCTGCACGATGTGGCTGTATCATGTGTGCTGCTGCACGATGTG